GTATGTTTTCTTACTTATGTTTATTTTTCTAGGGTTGATGTAATTAGCATGAAGCCATAGATCCATAGGATTCATGTACACTTAGGTATATCGTTGTTTCGATTTTTCCGCTGTCTAGTTTAGAGTGTATTTGATGCATAGAAAACCCAACAAAAATCCATTAGAACTTAGATCCGATTAAAAAAAGTGAAAAAACTAATCAAAAGTTGTTGAATTATGATACTGTTTGTCCTTAGCCTTCATGACGATTTTCAGAACAAGAATATGAGTGCATCTATGGAAGTACCTTTTATTCTTTAATTATTTAGCAGCAATTTTCCTTCTTCTTTTTTTCCCTATATTTCTGTTGTTTTACTCTATACTTCAATTATTAAAACGTTGATGTTAAGATCTTGAAAGATTTGATGTGGGTTTTTTTTATTTAATTGATTTATTTTGTGGGTTTTGCTTATTTGATCGATTTGTTTTATGGGTTTGATTGCAGGTTTGAAACAAAAATCTTGAACTCGAAGATGGTTGTATATGTCGTCACACCAAATAATGGAAGTGATTTCCTGTCATTGGAAGCCCATGGGACATGTATTTCTGGGGATTTACAAAGTAGGCACTGCATTTTTTTTTTCTTTTTGATTTTAACTATGTCTTTTTCCAGTTAGGTGTTTTTGAACTAATTAGTTAACATAATTTTCCATATAATTGGTTGTTTATGTAATGTGTATTAGCTTGATGTATGTATGTTCACTTTCCCATCTTAGCCTTAATTAATGTTAAACTGTTTGTGTTTGCAGAAGTGAAAGAGGCAAGCATTGCTGATAGTGAGTATCTTCATTCAAATAATCGACCACGTAAACAAAAAACTTTATTTTCATTTTCTTTATATTCTTTTGAATATTGGCTTGTGATTATTTTGCAGGTTGGTACAATGGTGCTCAAATAGTGATGGTTGGCTGCCATAACCAATACAATATACATGAGAAAATGATAAATGTGGTTGTGTGGTATGATAGTCAGAACCATACACCAAGAGGGTAAAAACCTGAATATGTTGATGTTTGTAAAGGCTGCCAATCCACCTACTTATAGTAATCATTGCTTGACAGGTTGCTGACTATATCAGTTAAGACAATGTTCCCCTTGTGCCATGATTTTAACAATCATACTTGAATCGAATTTGAGGTAAATTGTTATTAACACAATCATGACATGTAGAAATCAAAAGGATTGTAGTTTTCATTGAATGGGTGAAAGATTTTTATATTTCATGTTGGGTAAGCTTTCAAAGTTTAATGTCATAATAAGAAAAATAAAAGTACAATACTATAAATGGATAAAGTTTTCTAAATTATACAAAATGAAGTTAAAGGTTGTAATATAAATAAATAAAAGTAGGATGCTATAATACAAAAATAAATAAAAGTATATTGTTATTTCTTGCCGTTATATACTTAGCTGATTCATTTATAATCGTTAGCATTAATCACAACTTTATATAATTTTCATCCTTAAAAATAAAATAACCATTTTGTCTAAATTTTTAGGCGTCTTCTGTGTACCGTCAGCAAAAGTTGAGCAAGAAGTATTGGAATAGTATTACTTCAATCCGAAAAGTGTTGACCCTTACTGAAGAGTATATACGTCTTTATGGTTCATTCTCCTATATATAGAAACATCTCATGTGTTCCATTTTTTAATTTTTTGTGTTCCTTCTACTATCATATCAATGAAGTAATAAGGATTTCATTTCTTTTTTTATTTGTTGGTAAATATTATGAAGGAAATGGCAAAACAACATTCTATGCACATGGGCGGTGTGCTTATTCTGTTATTAACATTAGAGAGGCTTACATGAATTATTAACAGGTCATTGAAACATATATGTTTATAGTAGTGATTGAAGTTTATTTGGATAAATTATGTAAGATGAAAGCACGATGAAAGATAATTGAAATTTTATGAAAGTCGTGTTTTTACATGTTGTGTTTTAGAACTTTGAGACTTTTATGCCTTCATTGAATAATTTTGATTTGTATAAACACTTTTTTATGTAAAATTTTCTTTAAAAATATTTTTTTTTTCTTTTTTCATCAATGATTGAGTTAATTTTTGTATAAAAAGTATCGATTATAACCAATTTATTTTTAATTGTAAAAAATATATGATTGTCTCTTATAAAAAAAAAGATGAGATATGTTGATAAAGCTGAAAGGTACAAGACAAATAGAAATTCCCCCAATCTGTGATTGTGTTATTGTTTTCATTGTTAAAACAAGTGTCATTGAAACTATTCAAAAATCAAAAAGAAAGTAGTAAAGTAAATCAGATTTTGTGTACTTGATTTGATAATCTACAAAATTAAGAAAACCAACATAAGTGAGATTTTGTTGTACATAATAACATACAAAATTAAAAGTTGAAGAGTAAATGAAAATTTATTGTGATTGATAAGCTAAAAAAAAGTAATTGAAATATTTTATGCACTTGAAATGGACAAATGGTTCGGCATTATATTTAACACACGCGTATTAACTTTAAGATGTTAATCTTCTATGTAATTATTCGGTTTTGTTTTCTTTAATCAATTATTAGACAAAATATAAACTATGCATATTAGTCTCCAACTTTTAAAATGCAAGCTAACAATTTATAATAAACTTTTAAATAACTAATTTATCTTCTGAAACTTTCATTTTGAATTTTAGTTTTTTACTTTAAGTTTTAAACCATGATAATATTCTTTGTGTGCAAGTAAGAAATTAATCGTTGCCACATCATCACACGAATACCCCACTAGCAACAAAATTTTATTTTAACCAAAAATAACAACCCACATTATAGATATATATTTTAATGATAAATGATATATTTGCCGATACATTGCATGTTCTTTTATTTAAATATGTCATGTTTTGCAATGGAAACTATATGTTGATGCATTGCATGTTCATCGTAATATGTCATGTTTTCGAATCACAGAAACAAAACTATTCTCCGAAAAGAACTACTCATCGCACCCACATTCAATGTGTGTTGCTAAATTTAAACTAATCATTGTCTGCCGGAAAGATAATTATGTAAATTAAGTCCGTATCCACAGGTTTCATTTTGGTTTTGATATACATTAAAGAAATCGTTGAATTGACACTAATGTTTGGCCCCTATGGTTCCAAAATTAGTGAATTGAAACTAATATTTGTTGATACTTGTCAATATATTGCGTCTTATTTTTAATATGGCATGTTTCCTAAAACAAAGTAATTGTCGAATTGAAAGTAATTATTGTTCACCGAAAAGAAACTAATTGCCGAATCATACATGTTTTCGAATAGAAATAAATGTCGGAACAAACTATCTGAACCCGTCGTTTGGCGCGGTTAAACGGCTAGTCTATATATATATATATATATAGATATATATATATATATATATATATATATATATATATATATATATATATATATATATATATATATATATATATATGCTTAACCTTTTGTGTAAAGGTAAGTCAATCCAAGAGTGTTTTCATAATTAGAGTTTGTTACATGATTATCTCTTGTACTTAAGAAACTAATTCTTGAAGCAATAAAATTTTAGTTTCAAAGTATTTGATTGTGTTCTTTGTTTATAACTTGATTAAATCATTACTTGGGAACAACAAAAGATTCTCTCTCTCTCTCTTTTTTTAAACGCAAACTATCTTACTCCTAATCTAATCCTAAACATCACATATGTCTTCTAGTGAGACTTGAACCCATGACCACTCATTTGAAAGAGTCACTCATTACCGCTAAGTCAAAGACCATTTGGTAAAGATTCTCTCTCTAGGCTAAAGAAGATGGGTCACCAAATCTTCCCAACATTATTGTTGTCTCTCCTCTCTAACAACCTTTATGGTATTATTTTTTCAAAGAGTGAAAGAAGTTTAAGTTTAAGGTAAAAAGAAATAATAATAAACAAGCAAATTTTAAAAAATAAACAAGAAAAGAAGACAAATAGGTAAAATATTCTTTTAATTTACACTTAATATTTTTTTTAAATAAAAACAATATTTTATCTTATATGGACTAGCCCATTTGATAGAGATCATTTGATAGAGACGTTGTCTTTTAAATTGAGTTTTGAATTAATTAAATGATACTAATGATTTTACTAACTAGATGATACCAACTTTTAACCGTTAATTAACTGTTTGAAAAAATTCTAACCACGTTAACTATTGGAAATATAAGAAACCACAAAAAACATATTTATAAACCGCGTTGAGCGTTTGTGTAATTTCAGTCTTAAAAGTTAAAACAATTATATGATAAATACTCTAATTTTTTAAAAATTTAATGGTAGATGATGTATATGGAGAAAATTGGGTGCTCGTTGATTCACAAATTGAATGTTCGGGGAGTATTTTGGGCAAAACATCATTCAAGAGGGTCCAAATCGCCCATTTATTAAAGCTGAGGGGGTGTTTGATTTGTCTAGTACTTCAAATTGGGGCGTAGTAGCAGCTCCGATACTCAAAAATTGACACGCGCCACCATCGCGCGTGGTTAAATTCTTGTGACATTACGCACAATGGCGGTCAGCTTTCATAATCTCGCAAGATCATCCGTTCGTTTATCCAGTCCACGTCATCTTCACAAACCCTCGGCCCTACGATCCGCACCACTCCGACGGGCCACCCTCGACGCCTTCACTCCATTATCGGTGGCGATATCATCCTTCAGGACCTGTCTATGGTCGAAATCTAAGCCAGAGAGTAGAGAGAGAAAGAATAAGCGAAGAATCCAATGAGTTAATAAGTATTCGATCTATTTGAAAAGGTACTTTCTCGGAACCCTAGTGTGTTACTATCACTGTATCAGACTTAATTATGTTTTGTTTGTGTAAAATTATAGAAGCTGTGTGAATATTGGTTTTAATCTTAAAAATTGTATGAAAATCTAGTATTTTGTACATGTTTGTACAATCGAAGCAGATTGAGTTAGGGTTTTTGGATTTCATGTATGAATTCGGAGAAAATTTTCAGTAGAAAGTCCTTCAAAGGTTTAAACAACAACAAGAAGAAGAATTCAACACCGTCTCACAGTTCAAACCTAGCTTCAGAAGACGCAAACCCTAGCCAGGTAGTAGTTATGGGTTCTCGGGTTCCTCCTGGAAACGGAGGAAGTAAGTTTGGATTTCGAAGGCAGGAGCATCGAGTTACTATCCAGCTGACATCTAAATCGAAGCAAGAGATGAGAGAAATTAAGAGGAAGCTTGTCAGTGAGCTTGAACTGGTTAAGCGATTGGTGAAGAAGATTGAGGAGGTAGGGTCGAGGCCTTTGAATCAGTTAAGTATCTCTGTTTTGGAGAACACTCAGGGTACAACTACAAGTGAGAATGTAGAGAAGGAGAAAAGAACTCCAAAAGCAAACCAGTTCTACAGGAAATCAGATTTTCTTCTTGCTAAAGATAGAATCCCTGCAACTGAGAGCCACAAGAAATTAAAACCTAGTGGCAAGAAACAAGGAGGAGTTGATGCTAAGTTTTCAAACAAATTATTCAAGAGCTGTAGTACTTTGCTTGAGAAATTAATGAAGCACAAACATGGCTGGGTGTTTAATAAGCCTGTTGACCCACTTGCCCTTGGTTTACATGATTACTTTGACATCATTAAGCATCCAATGGATTTGGAAACTGTAAAATCACGTCTGGATAAAAACTGGTATAATTCTCCAATGGAGTTTGCAGAAGATGTAAGACTCACATTTCACAATGCTATGACATATAACCCAAAAGGGCAAGATGTTCATGCCATGGCAGAGCTTCTGTTAAATTTTTTTCAAGAAAAATGGAAACTCATTGAAGCAGATTATATCCGTGAGTCTAAGCTTGCAGTAAATAATGAAATTGTTTTGCCACCTCCACCTCCACCTGCTCCAACCATTGATCCTAAACCAAAGCCTTTGAATCCTTCTACCATCGGTAGAACTCCTTCCAAGAAACCAAAGGCTAAAGAACTCAACAAAAGGGAAATGACATATGATGAGAAGCAAAAGCTTAGTATGGACCTTCAGAATCTGCCTTCTGAAAAGCTAGATAATGTTGTTCAGATTATCAAGAAACGAAACCCGTCATTATCTCAAAAAGATGATGAAATTGAAGTGGATATTGATACTTTTTGATACTGAAACTCTATGGGAGCTTGATCGGTTTGTTACAAACTACAAGAAAGGTTTAAACAAGAACAAAAGGAAAGCTGATTTTCCCAATCAAGAAACAATGGAAGTTGAACCAAATGTACAGGAAAACGTGAGTCTTTCACACCATCTTTTTTCCTTTATGTAATGAAATATGCCAAAAAAAGCATGATTTTTCTTCCTAATTTCAGATTCCACAACCAATTGTTGTTGATGCCCCTAAAGAAGCTGATGAGACAGATGTTCAGATGGAGAAGAAAGTGGAGGAGGAAGTTGTTCACGGAGACAACAAGTCAAGTAGCTCTAGCAGCTCCAGCAGTGTATCTGGATCCTCTTCTAGTGGTATTAATTAACTATTAGCATATATGAGAATTAATGGTTTTGTTTATTTTTGACTTAATGAAGCCAAAAAACCTGGCTTAATGTATTAAGACACTAACCCTTTACCTATCTCTCCTTTTTTTTTTGCTCTCATCTTCTCATGTTAAAATTATTTAATATATTCAAAATTTGTTTTTTCTAATGATTTATCTTAATTCTTTTTTTAATTAACTACAGATTCTGATAGTGATAGTTCATCTGGAGCAGGATCTGATGCAGGTCATTCTTCAAAGGCATGATTGCAACAAGAAGGTATTATTTAATTATCTTAATCATGTATATTGTGATTATTTTCATCTCACTCCTGTTTTAAAATGTTCATTCTGCTAATATATTTAAACCCTTTTCTTTTGCAGATTTCTGAACCTGCACCAAGTGGTACTTATTTGTAGAAGATGAAGATGTAACATATGGAGCAAATGTACAACTCTTAATGCATGAGGTGCAAATCACTATTGCTTCGAATTTAGGTGAAAGGATGTAGTGTTTGTTGTTGTATCTGTAACTGTTAAGTTGTAAACTTATTTTGGCACGTGAAGTATGTAATCAACACTGAAGTAAGTTTGTAGTGTCTTAGAATTAGTGACAGTTTGTTTCAGGTTGGTTAATTTAACTGTCTGTTTTAAGAGCTTCTGTGTATTGCATAAAAAGCTCACTTAACTTCCCCTTAAGCTTGTAAAGTTATTTAGTTTTATTGCAAACTTTGTTAAAATGTCAAAATAACATCTAGTTTTTGTTACAATGAGCAGCTTTAGACTAGTATAGAGTGTTGTTAATTAGTTTGATAAAAGTCTTCAATTAATGACTGAACATGTTAAGTGCTTCTTAAAACCCAATTCTTAGAAAACTTGTAAGGGACTAATATTTTATAACAATTATTAACGTGCAAATGTGTAAAGTTAGAAAAGTGATAATTTCCAAAAGAAAAAAGACGCATGAAATACTTTCTAAAATAAGCTACAACAAAGGGAAGAGCGTGGTGTAAAGCATTATTCCTCTAGCTGTTGTTATTGTGGGAATAATACCAAAGAGAACACGAATAAGGATGAATGGATACCATGTGTGTGTGTGTGTGTTTGTGATTAATATTCTTCTAACTACAATGGTGTTTTTTTGCTGTACATCCAAGTAATTTTTCTATTGCTTGCTTATGTTTGTGCTTGGGGAGAATGGATGCAGGATACCATTTTAAACCCATATATTTTCAGGTTGTGGATTTTATGATATGTTATATAAATAATCATCTTTATACTTTTAAAGTTATTTTCTTATTGATATAGTTTTTTGTCCAAAAATATTATGTTAAAACATAAAAACAATTCATTATGTGTAAAAAGATAAGTCAATGAAATATAAAAATGTCTTTTTTCAATCATTTTACATGTATAAGTTCAAATTTTCAAACGTTAAAAAAAATAACTTACTAGTTTATTATGGTTTGGTATCCAAACATTTAAAAAGAAATTCTATTTTAACACCTCATAACATAATAATTTTTTTAGGAATAAAAATAAATTGTTTTAAATAAGCAATCCTAAACATCTCCTTCAATATATTATTTATCTTGTCATGTTCTATTTCTAATTTGATTGTTTACAACTTTACATTACTAAATTAATTAAAACAGGAATAATATGAGTCGTATATCTATAAGAGCATGAATACGACCTTCATAAACTTAGGTCGCAACTATAAAGATTCAACTGATAGCAAAAATTCTATAACATGACTAGATTCTAGTCTCAAATATTTATCGACTGTCCAAATAAAAAATTAAAAAAAAATACATAGAATGATAAAAATGCAAATGACGTGTTTGCTTCTTTTTGGAGAAAAACATATCTTATCTCATTTATTATCTTTTTAGAAATAGTAAAAAGTTAACTTAATTATCAAAGATAGTCTATCATTGTTATAGATGAAATTTGTGGAAATTTTTTGAAAACAGCAAACGAATTAAATGGAAGCCTATTCACAATCTATGAAATAGCAAGTCATATACTAGATCACCACAAGAAGTTGTTTTTAAGAATATCATGGGCCTCGTCAGTGAAAAATATATGTTTTACATTCTGAAAGAAAAATCATTTTTTTGAACTTTTTTGTGGTAAAATCTTCAAAGATCATTTTTACAAGAAAAAATAGCTTTATATTGTAAGTTTAATCTTCAAAAATTCTAAAAAAAAAAACAATATCAAAGAATTTCACAGAAGTAATATATGACATTCTTAATTTCTTAGATATGATCTGGGAAAATTAAAATAAAAATACATTTTTTGAACTTTTTTTGTGTTAAAAATCTTGAGAAAAAAGGTTTATATAGTCTAAAATTTTGATTTTTTTTTAAAGATTTTTTACCTTACAAAGGATATAAAAGTGAAGAAAGACGATAAAAATATGTCTTATATATGATTACCAGTACACAATTTATTTCGCAGCCCATTAAGGTTTTTGGCAGCCAAAAATGACTTTTTCTCGACACGTTTACTTATTTTGTAGATTTTTTCATTTGATTATTTTTTTATTATTTCTTGAATATTATAAAACGGAATTAACTTATTAGAAAATTTGCGAAGAAACATTTGAGTGAGGGACTAATATTGTAATTTACTAAAAGAGAAGCAAAACTACAATACAATAGATTGCGTAGCGTAGCAATTATAAACACCCTTTCGCTTATCCCTTCACCAGCAGAGACCAGATACAGAGACAGAGACAGAGCAAGAAAAAATGTGTTGCGGTGATGGCGACTGCAGGCCTTTGGGTTTCCTACTCGGTCTCCCCTTTGCTTTCCTTTCCCTTCTTCTATCAATCATCGGCGTCGTCATCTGGATCGTCGGGTACGTTGTAGTTATAATTACCCACTCACTCTCGAAATCACTCGTCTAATCGTTTGATCCACTTAAAAATTTTTAAATTCGAATTGAATCTCAATTTCTGATTATACTGATGAACTGAAACAGATTGTCGTTGACATGCATATGCCCCTGCTGTTTGTGCCTTACGGTGTTAGTTGAAATAGCAATCGAGCTGATTAAGGCTCCGATTCATGTCATGGAATGGTTTACTTCGAAGATTCCTTGTTGAGTTGCAGTTATGAAACCTAACTTTGTGTGTGATTATTCGTGCATAGTGAATTACACTTTTTAGCATCTTCTCAATGTTCTTTTGAATATTTATGATATGGTGATTTGATTAGGGGTTTATTACTTTATTACTTTACTCTGTAGCATCATTTGCTTGTTTATCTAGTGTTACATCAATCGATTTATGATCCTGTATGTTTATCTATGTATATGTCGGTCAGCAGTTATTTGATTAATTAATAGCAATGTTATATGCTTTTAGAACATTATTTAAAACATTTGATCAAAGTGTTGAATATATTGGCAAAATGTAACAAATAACAACGCAGTTTTTAATTTTTCTTTCTTATTATAACATTGTACTCTCTTTTGTCTTTATTATAACATTTTTCTTTACTTTAAATTATTCTTCAATAGAGTTTTCTACTTTAAAGAATTTGAAAATATTATAGCAAAGAGATTTAAAACATGATAATTTGGCACAAGTTAATTTGTTATGCAATGTTATTGTTCATGTACAATACGATACACTGCTAATATGGCAAAAAAGTTCAAAATTATATATATTTTTTAAAAAATTATCCATATCATATAAATTTACATATGTTGTATTGATAATACTTATTTTATATTTTAACATAATTATTTAATAAGAAATCTATCTACATCAAATATAAAAAAAATAAAAAAATAAAAAACAGTTTTTGAAATGACAATTGAAAATCAAATAAGAAGGATGAATAGCGAATCTTAAATGTTGTTCAATAATGAAATAATAAAAGAATCTCGAACAAAAATCATAATTACTAGTTTTAAAATAGACTTAAGACATCCTACAATGTATTCAACTCTATGTAGTTTAATGATTGACATCAAATTCTATCTTTTATACAACTTTTCCATTTAATTACTAAGATCCATTGAATCTATAAAATTCAATTCAACATATTTAGAAATACATATATAATCTTTTTGATAATCAATAATCATTTTCTCATTCAACATTTAAATAGGTATTGAACCCAGATCCATTTTATACCAACTTGACAGCGATTATAATTGAGCTTAAAAATTAAAATATTGTATATTTGTATGTCAATTAGTGTGTATACATGTAACTTGAGTTGAAATGTTTTGAGTAAGATGAAGGCTGCGAATTAATGACGTTTTGGGGATGTCTCTGCCTCATATATCTTCTAGAAGCGATGCCAAGAATGTCCATTATCTAGTACAGAACAATGGTGTCTTCTCCTCTTGTTTTCTTTCACATGTAAATATTGAATGATACAATTCATTCGGCAAGATTTTTGTTTTCTATATGATTGTCTACGTTTTTAAAGACATCCAAAACGAAACAAACACCGTTGACCAACATTTATGTTCCCAAGGAAGTGAAATCACACTTCATCGCAAATTTTAAAGTCCATTATCAATTTAACATGGTTTACAAGGTTGGTTTGTTATTATAAGAGTTTAATTCACAACAATGAGATTTCAGTTCCACGAAAACAGTATTTATAAATATTGCTCCCTACCACTCCATATCTTATGAACTCTCTCTCTCTCTCTCTCTCTCTCTCTCTCTCTCTCATTAGTCCTTAATGGAGACAAGTATGCACTTGTGGCTTACAAGCTCTTTTGGAGTGGCCATGGTAGTTGGTGTGGCATGGACATGGAGGTTGTTGAAGTGGGTGTGGGTGCAACCAAGGAGGCTTGAGAGGCACCTAAGGCTTCAAGGGATCAAGGGAACCTCCTACAAGTTCTTTTATGGGGATACGAAAGATATGAAACAACTGGTCAAAGAAGCCAACCAAAACCCCATCGGTATCCATGATGATATCATTCCAAGACTCTTGCCCTTTGTTTCTAGGTCAACCAAAACCTATGGTATCAATTAATTGCTTCCTAAAATTAATTTCCAATCACAAAATAAGCAAAAGTTGGATAACAGGGTAATTGAACTTATATAATCTTTATTGAAATACAATTCTAATTTATTTCACAGGTAATATTTTCTTTGCGTGGTTGGGGCCAAGCCCAATAGTGCATGTCCTTGATCCCGGTCTAGCCAAAGATATACTCTCTAGAATCAACGATTTCCAAAAGCTTAGGAAAAAAAATCCCTATATTAAGTTATTATCTCAAGGATTAATTGATTACGATGGAGATAAATGGGTCAAACATCGAAAAATCATCAACCCCGCATTCCATGCGCACAAATTAAAGGTTTATTAATCCTCTTTTACATACATATAGCATCAAATCTTCATCTTTTACATGAAACGATGGATTTAGTTCATCGAAATTATGTTTATTTGTTATGTAGTACATGGCTCCGGCTATTCATTTGAGTTGTAGCGAGATGATGGAGAAGTGGCAGAAGTTGTTAGCATGTGAGCATTCATGCGAGCTCGATGTGTTTCCATATCTTCAGACACTAACGAGCGACATAATCTCACGCACGGCATTTGGTAGTAGTTATGAAGAAGGAAGAAGGATATTTGAACTTCAGAAAGAACTTATTACTTTACTATTGGAAATCATACATTCCGTATACATCCCTGGATCTAGGTAAAGTGTAT